ATAAAATACAGGAAGCTTCTCATTTCGTGGTAGCTAGACTGCATACTTTTTAGTCACAATTATAAAGTATTACATGTACAAAAATAACTGTTTTGTCAAGTGTTTGCAGAAATGATAGAAAAATTTGTCTAACGTAGTTGGGGGATAGGACCTTAAATGCATATTGTAGCAAGGCTTGGGTTGATTTCCTGCCCTGTGTGACTTGATATGAAGGTAATACGGTAAACTTTTGTAATAGAAATAAATGTTGTGAAAGTAAAGGACTGAAGATTGTGTGTGTGCTATAGCCGATGTGAAAGCTGATGGATTCTACCTTGTTCCAGTAGCACTTGTTCTACTACTATATTTTCAATGGTTTCCTCAGGAATTCCTGCAATACAAATAGGTTCTTAAAGATTTAATTTAATGCAATGGAGTTTTCCATTCAGCAGGAGTTCTAATGCTTTTTTAACTAATTGAACTTGTGAGTTCAGAAGAATGTGAAGTTGTTTTGTCTTTTTTTTTTCTTGGGGGGGGAAGAGGTGAGAATGTAATTTGGTTTAAAATTTTCAGACATAAAGTTGGACAACAGATGCTGGATTTGTATCCCTCCCCAAAGATGTCTACAGTGCAGGTGTCTAGACTTGCTGTGCAGTTAAGTGCGGAAAAATAGCTGCTTCTGGTAACAGTCATGTTACCTCTTTTCAGATATCTACAGTACTCTGCCATGTGCTGTTTGTCAAGGTTTCTGAATGGTAACTGATGTTTTTTACAAAATCTTTTTTGAGTGGTGCGGAAAAATAACAGCATGAATGTTTTAAAGAGGTCACCACACACTTGTGTAATTACAGTCTAATTGGAATAGTTCATACCATGATGCCTTTGTTCTTCCTTCTTGATTCTGGTGTTGGTGAGTGGCCCTGGAGTAAGAGACACCTCATTTTGATTTTACAAACTACATGACCCCCAGGTCAGAATTCTTCTGGAGGGATTTTCTTTGGTGGTTTTGTCTGAGGTTTGTCTTTTTTTAACAATCTTCATTGTAAGTGCCTTTATTTAGTTTGAAAGAGACGTCTTTTTAAATTCTAATCTCCTGTGCTTGCTGTTTATTGAGTATTTTCCAACTGTTAGGTAGCTTGGTGATCTGTGGTAGGGTAGAAGGATGAAGGGATTCAGTCTTTCTCCTCTAAGACTCTTGGTGGGTACTAGCAAGGTCGAGAATGAGTAATGGTAATAATTTGACAGCCGTCCCAGAAATAAGGAAAAATGGAAGCAGGAGAAGTTAAGGAGAAAACGCCAGAGAGTAAGATGTGGTAGAGGGTTGGAAGCTAATGCTTGGTGTCTAAAAGGAAACTCTACCTTTTTAGCATCAGCAGCTAATATCCATGGGATAATTCCTGATGGAAGGTGCTATTCTTGGAAATTTAAATATTTTACATTCCTGTTGCACTGCTCCATATAAAAGGATGAAAATTTACCTTATGTCTTAGAAATCTGCAAAGACTCCCAAAACATTTGAAACAGAAGATCTATTAGTGCTTTTCTGACCTGATTATAAATGACAATAAACAAGAAGGAAGTTCATGTCAACTGACAGAATCAACTGTCCCAGTAGCCCCAGCAGAGAAAGTGGACTGTGGCTGGACTTTTTAAGAAAAAAAGTAATTACACTTGTTTCTATACAAGATCAATCTTGTCCTGTAGGGCTTAAGCTGAGCATGTGTGCGCTGGAAAGAATTAGTTGCTTCTTTGTTCAGCATGGCATGAATGACTGCCTGATAATGCTGTCATGCAACTAATAGATTGTTGAACAGCAATTAGAAATTTAAGTTAGTCTGGCAAAGCTGAATACATATTTCACAAGTATCATAGGCCTACCTTTGCAAGGTAAAATAAAAAACAAACACCTTCACTTTCTTGCTAAAGTTTTCATTGTTTATTCTTATTGTAGCTGTATTTTCACAATTTTACTAGAATCAACTCTAAGATTTGTTTTATTTGTAGTTAGAAAACTATTCTCAATGTGCAGATCACATGAAATTTCACACATGAAAGAAGGAGTTTGTGCTGAAAAACCTGTTTCTACCTCTTTCCTTGGAAAAATTAAGTATATGAGCAAAAGATACTGTGCCCCTGCTTATTGCCAGGGTTGTACAGACCTGCTCAGTCTGTAAACGTATTGAATTTTTAAAAACCTGTTTAATTGTTTTAGCACAGTGCGTATATTCTTTTGATCCTCTTAAATGCTAATATAGAACAGAACCATAGAATAGGTGAATTGGGAAGTGACTTGGGAGGTCATCTCGCCGTAGCTGACAGCTCTTCCCTGGGGACTTTGTCATAGGGACCACTGTCCTGGGCCAAGCACAGCACGCATGGACTGTCCTTGTACTGGGGCTGCAAAGGGGCTGCTAGAAGAAGGCTTGGGCTGCAAAAAGTTTTCTCTCTCACTAACTTTTTTACAAGGAGCTGTGGCTAGGAGCCTTGGCCTCAGGTTCAGCTAAGGCCTAGGGTTAAGGTTAGGCTGGGGAGAGACACCAAGCCTAGGGCTGCCCTTATAGCGGGGCTGGAAAGGGGTTGCCGGGGGAGGAAAAGTTACCGAAAGTTTTCTCCCTTGTGAACTTTTTCCTCTGGGCCGTGGCCGAGGGCCTTGCATCTCAAGTGCAAAATGCTTAGGTTTTTTGAATGCCACGTATTTCAGTAGAAACCTGCCGTAGTTTATAACTTTTCATGTCAAGACAGTCACTATATGTGAGTCTAAACACGCACAGAAAATTTAGCTTGTGTGGAACTGCCGTAGGAAGAGGTATATTCAGTAGCTTTCCAAAAAAGCATGAACAGATATTAACTGTGTGACTGAAGGCAACCATTGAGACATTCTGCATAAACAGTATGACTTTCAGCCAGATTGGTGGCTGAGCAAGCCTTAAGACACTTGATATTTTGGCGTCTGGACTGTTGCGCTAGATGAGGCAATAATTTAGAAGCAGCCAGTCTGCTCTGGAAGAAAGCTCCCTTTGGCATGATCTCCTGTGAGCAAGTCCTGGAGGTTTTAGTGCCAGACCGTTTAGAGATGTTTCCAACAGGAGGTAAACATTTTAATAACAGAGATCTTTCTTCCTTGGGCTTTGCTATCTTACCCCATTCTATTTCCTTCCTCGTCAGACTCCAAACTGTGGTCTAAAATGTGTTTTAATCCCTGCTTCTTTCCTTCCTCTCATTTTATTCCTCTTCCGTATTTCACGGGGACGCCTGTACAAGCCATTTTGAAGATTTATTTAGAACGGGCTTTGACATTTGGGGTTTCCATTAAGACCGCTTATATTTTACTTTCTATTATTGCGTGTGTTTTTGGTGCACTCCTGCAATACCAGTTATGGTGCCTGATGTATTCACATTTGAGTAATTAAGAAAATGAGATGCATTTGCTGATATATCATTTTTTCCCTGAAACAGAATAGGCACTGCAGATTTAGGAGACTGGACTGAAGTCACTGTGGAACTGGAGTATTCAGAAAGAGGCACCTGAAGGAAAAATTCTTAAGTTGCCTGTTGTAGCAACGCAATGTAAAATACTAGTTTTTAGAGTTGCTGCTGTGCAAGTCTGAAAGATAAGTTAGTGCCTTTGTGGGGAAAAGTAACATCTGTTTATGATCTGTGAAATAAAATACTGGTAATAGGAAATGTGTGGTTCTTTTCATGCCGTTCTCTGCATTTAGGAGAAAACAAAAGTGAATCATTTGTTATGTAAATATATTAAATATATTTTTCATCAAGTGTTTCTAGGACATAACAGCTAGTATTAGACTCTCCCTTCAGCAGCTGGTAGTTGCAGTCTATATGAGCTTGGGTTACAGAGATTTTAACTGCAAGGGGACCAAGGAAATATATCCCCCACACCACCACCACCAAAAAAAAGAAAAGATGTCATTCACATTGTATTCATTGCTGCTCATGATGATGCTAGGCTGTCAGAAGAGTAGAGTCCTGAATGGAGACTTAGTGTCAGCACAAAGCGAGATTCCTCTTTCCCATAGTGGGTAATCACACTTTTAGGGTGTTTTAAACTATTAGAGACCTCTTTGTTTCTCTTTAAAAATCTTGAATCTGAAGTGAGTGCCTTGGTCTGATGATTTTCTTCCCAATAGATTGGACTGATACAATTTCCAGTCTTTGGATAAAAGGTATATGGGTTTTCTCATGGGGTGAGGGTTGTGAAGAAACATAGATTGTTGCAAGGGGATTTTATAATGAAAATTCCCCAGCTTTCAGGGGCTTGGTAATTTTTGGAATATTGTAAGAATGAACCATGCATAGCATATTCATGGGTGAGGGGAAATTCGGGATTTTCAACTTTTGGAGGGAGGAGGGTTTGCTAGTCTTTGGACGCTGTTTGGACAACATTCAACTGTGGAACCACTGACCTGATGCTATTCTCATGGTGAGGTTTTTTTTTTTCTGGACTCCCTTTTTATTTTTCTTCTTGCATTTACATTTTATGAGGACCTCTGCTCTCCATAACACATGCAGGAGTAGAGTTTAATTTTGAGTACAGATGCAGAAAAGTAGATGGGCTACCCATAAAGGGCATAGTCTTTCCCACTTTCTTGCAATGGGGGAAACGGATGGTTGGCTCTTCCTAAGCTGTTGTGATACTCAAATGCCTTATGGGTTTCTGCTCTCAGGCCTTTCCAGCACACCCTGCCTCTAGGCAATAGAGACATACTGATGTGACAAAACTCAGCCAGAGCCCATGAAGGCTAGTATCATCTAGATTAATTTAGGGCATTAAAAAAAAATGTCAGGATATGTCTGGATATTTTTCCTTTTACCTTTTCTTCATTTTAAGGATGGATCTTGGGGTACATATGAATCTTGGGGTACATACATGTCCTTTCAGGAGGGGAAAAAGGCGAGAATACTCCTTTCCAGCCATACTGAAATACTATATGCTAGGAACAAGTGTTTGATAATTTGGGTTTTGTGACTCATCACTTATAAATACTCCTTTCTCATGACAGGTTGCTGAATGCAATAAAGCCAGGATTGGTAAAAAAGATCAACAGACTGCCGACTCCCATTGCCGGATTGGTGAGTATGTCAAATGGAGAAAAATCTTTCAGTGTTGCTCTTGGCACTTTGATTTTATGGCTGTGTGATCTTAAACAGCAATGATTTTTGTAATTTGAACTCTGCTAACCTACTAAACCTGGACAATTCCTCTGAAATCTAAGCTCGCAGTGCAGTCTTTTGGAGACCTTCCAGTCTTTTTTCAGAAGTGGGGAGTGTTCAAGAGGCAGAGTACATTTTTAGAAGAAAAATGTCTTCTTTATATGTCTTCGTTATATGTCGTCTTAGAGTTCTGGTGCTAGCCTTAGAAAGACTCGAAGGTGCACTCTGGAATCTTTGACCACAGGAAGACAGTTTTTTGGAAAGGAAGAAAAATGTATTCATATATTGGGTCTCAGCTGCGCTCTCCTCAAAACACTACAGTCTACAGATAACATTCATTGCAGGATTATCTAGGGAACTGCTTCATGTTGACTTAAAGGGCAGAGTAAAAGTTGGCCATTATCCATATGAGCTAGGAAGACCACAGAAGACGTGCTGACAGCCCGTGGGCTGAACCTACCCCTTGAGGCAATTGCTGGGGAAAGAAGGCAGTATGAACAGGCATTGGGTCTAGCAGGGTTAGTGACGTAGAAGTAACGGCTGTATTGATTTTGCTTTGAGTTGTGGTTGGGAATAAAAGGACCCCTGAGCATGTGGAAGGCGACCATTCTTAATTTAGTCCGATGATATCCCTATATACATAGTCCCTATCTGTTCTGACATTTCTCACATTGTAGTTCAGTTGTGCAAGATTCAGCCCATATTGCTTGTTGATAGTTGAGGTTAATGTTCCTGTTTATAAATAGCATGGGAAAGTTTCAGTGTATTCAGAAGCTATATTAAATTCATTTTTAAATTGATTCTACAATGTAATAACAGAGTCCTTGGAGGCTGGGTCCTTCAACCTGTAGATTGACAGGCACATTTCTGCTTGAGTACTGCCTAGTTTTAGAATTTCATCTGGTGCTTGAGGCTAGGCTGTGATCCCTACCACTTCTTCTGTAATGTATCCTAATGTGACTTTCTTTTGCCTCTAAAATCCACCTAGTTTTATTCCTACTGAGCCGTATTTGAAAAGCTTATTTGAAATAAACTGCTGCAAAAGATACCAGGAGTGTAGTTCTCTTTTCTTTGGCTCCTTTTCAGGAAAGACTCAATTTTTGTTAATGACTGTTTCAAGAGGATGATATTGAATTACATTGGGTTTTTTTCCTGTTAATTTCTAAAATGCCAAAGGTAAGTTGGTTGTAGTTAGGAGGGAATGCATTAAAAATATCATTATGTCAGTTTATTTTTCTGATTTCTGAAGATAGATTTCTCTTGGAAGATGTATATCCACAAAACTAATGAAAAAGTGTTCTTTAGACTATTAATGGTGCAGCAGATTGGTTTCTTTTCTGTATTGGAAAATCATGTTTTTTACTTCTGTACCTGCTTCTTCTATTTACCTGTAGTAATTATTTTTCTAAATATTTTTCCTAATAAAGTGGCAAGCGGTTTTAAAAAGTTCAGTGGAACTTTTTCAGTGCATCTTTTTTTTTTCATCTCACCTGTACCATGCCTATGTGCCTGAAAAAATGTAAAATACTCAGATTATAGTCCAGAGATAATTGAATGCATTTGAGGAACATTCCTTTATTTATTGCAAATTCTTCTTTATCTTATCTTTGGCTGGCTTGACGTAATATTATAGTTACTTCTTTCCAGTTATTTCACCCCAATTTGTGTGACTTGCTCTAGTATGTGCACACAGACTGTTTTGTCATGTACTGTGACATACTGTCAGCATCTTTTCTGCTTTAAGTGCAATACCTGATTTTGATCTCCTAGTGATTCTACCTAGAAGTGTAACTTAACCATTCTAATGGGATTAATTTATTTATTCCTGATAGCTGATACAGTAACCATTTAGTTCAGTAGTAGAGAAAATAGAAAGATTTTCCTTTTTTAAAGAGTTGGAGCTAAAGCTTATGCTTTAGTAATTGTAATTGTAAGCGCTCAAAGTGGCTGTTGTTTCATGTTTAACCTCCAGAGGCACAAATGGTCATATATTATGTAGTTCTACAACATTTCTACTTCAGTCTACCTTAATTCTCTAGATAATACTATATTTTTTCCCTTTTGTTATTGTAAGGACAAGTGAAGAAGTATGCTTTATTGAGGGAAAGCAACAGTAAACTTTAAGCCTGTGTTGGAGACATCCTGAGATGCTCACGTGGGAGTCTCACCAGCTGTAAAAATTTTGCCAGTACGTGGTGTTTGAGAGATTTCTCGTTAACACTACTGTGAAGTATTATGCATAACTGATCTGTTGTTGACAGACTGAATTCTTCAATCTTTTCTTGGTATTTAAAGCTAAATGAATCTGCAATTACTCTGAAGTACATACCACTGGCTTCCTCATGTGGTTTAAGAGGGAAAGGCTTATTTGCAGGCCTTTTGTTATACCAGAATAGCAGTCATGTAAGTAGAATTTATTTGTTACTGTTTGGTAGTACCCGAGTAAGGACGGAAGGATCTGGACACCACTGTACTAAGCACAGGCCATATAAATACACAGAGATGATCTTTGTCTGGTTGCAAGTCTAAGTCAGGATATGTATAGTATGCAACATTACATGTAGAATTACATATGCTCAGCTTGGCAAGCTTGTTTGCAATTTGCTTTGATCTTCAGAAGCGCCAACTGATTCTGTTATCACCGCAGAAATGATGTGTTGCTTTAATGAAAGGGAACATAGGACCAAACCATCGTTTTGGTATTCGATCTTATAGCGAGTATTAAGTTTGATTAAAAGCTTTCTCATTCCTCTTCATTATTCATTAATCCAGAAAGCTAACGCTCTCACCAAAAAGCAAATTCACAGAACACCCAAAGGAAGAATATGAAAACCATGTCAGAATAACAAGCTTTGCTGAAAGAGCCATGTTTCCAAAATAAATGTTCTCATGCGAGAAATTGATACTGAACATCTTTTTTTAAGGCTGCCAGCTTTCCAGAAGCATCATTTCATGTATTCAATTGTGCAAGCCTGAAAAAGTATTTTGGCCAAGTTATTAATTAGAAGACCATCTGAAACTGCAGAAGGCTTACAATGATGGATTATTAGAGTACAATTAATATAATTACACTCTAAGTGATTTTCACAAAACCAGCAATTTTTCACTGAGTTGTGGTCAATTTCATTCCTTTGGTATGACATTCAGAGTGGGCCCAACTGATCTTTAAAGATTTTACCAATTGTTATTATGTTCCACTGTGTAGTGTAATATATTTGTTAATTCTAGAGAAATAGAGTTTTTCTCAGTATCATCTTAGTTAACTTTTGCTCTTTAATGGTGGCCGCTATATGTTGGCTCTTTTTTTCCTTAAAAAAGGAATCTAGATTTACTTCCTGTCACTGAATAATGTTACTCTGTGAGAAAAGAAACGGTTTCTGCCTTATCTTTTGTTTGACAGGGTTTAGCAGAGCTTGTAGCATTACTTCAGTTCCTTGAACAATCCCCACAGGAGCTTAGACACTTACTTCAGAGACGATGTGAAAGACTCTCACATATAATAGTAGGAAGTAGCCAAGACAAAGTTGAAGGGCTGAACTTTAGCTTGTGTCTTGGCTCATGTTTCAACACTACCAAAGAAAAATCTGTTTACTGGGGCATCCGGTTTTTAGCTTGTGTACAGTCCTCATCGTTGTAATATTTGTTTGATTTAGGAATGCAAAAAATAGCTCAGCAAGAGCCACCTGGTTGTATGGTTATTTTACCAAGGCGAACATAACCGTAACATGCTATTTAGAAAAGCTTGTTTCTGTGACACCATTTTTTTTTTCATGATTATTTTCCTAGGCTGATTCTCTTGGCAAAATGGTCTTTGGGAACTTGCTATAAACCTTGTTAAGAATAGCTACCTATCTATCGGTGCTTGTAATTTGCCTTTTATGCTGTTGCATAAATTCCAGTATCTTTTTGATGTCATAGGATAGCGTAAAGATGTTTCAACATTGTATTGGCTGTCAGGAATTTGTGCTTGTTAATTAAGCTCAGCAAATGAGACCCTTTTCTTCATGCAGGTATGAACTTGAAAATATAAGACAGAAATGTAGCTTACTGCATTTCACAGAATAAAAAATAATTTGAAAAGATAGAGAAGTAGATGGAACTTCAACAGACCTACATTATTTTTGTCAAACTTTCCCACTCCTAATTCAGTTTCATTATATTTTTGTTTTTCTTAAAAAATTATCTTCTCATTCTTCCTTTTAATGCCTCACTCTGCCTTTAATTCTTTATAGTAATTTCTCAAAAGAGTCTGCTGCTTCTGTAATACCTAGATACTACCATAATACATGGTAATTTTCTCTTTCCTTTTTTCATACTTTTTATTTCTGCTGGACAAAATCATTTGCCAGCAGTGTTATGTCCATAAAGAAGTCCTGCTGTGCAAGCTCTGTTGCATGTGAAGTAAACAGAAGCAAAATTTCATAACTGTCTCAAAACATTAAGTTCTTGGCACTCAAGTCCCCAAACCGCTTTTGTGAATGTTGATGGACTGTGAAGTGGCAAACACCGCAGCTGGATTCTGCCTGGTTTTCTGTGGCTCTTCCTTGCTAAATAGCGACTGGCTTTGCTACACCTCTTGCGCTTGACCTCAGTTGTGACATCTGAATATTTGACTAGAACAATGCTTAGGGGCTAGCCAGTGGTTTGGAACAACTCTGTGTGCTTTGGCTCATCAAATACTGTAATGTAATGATCCCTTCTCGAAAAGAATAGTGTCCTTAAAAAACAAGTTCATTTCTACAGTGTCCTCCTCTGTGTATTTTTTTTCTCGAGCTTTTTATACTCTTCCTTTGAATTCATTTCCATTTAGTTTTTCCTGCCTGTCTGATTTGGTGTTATCTGAGCTGGACGGAGCTACGTTATAAAATTCGTGTTTAATGTATTTAGCCATATGCTGTACTCATAATCATTTCTAAGTT